GAGTCCGTAGCCAACCAACTGGTCCAGGCAGACCGGCGGTTCGGCCAGACCGGTTCAGACCGGTTTCAACCGGTTCGGACCGATTCAGTCCATAAATTATCAGTTAAATCCTAGTTCATGTTTTTAAGTCCCGTTTTCAGTTAGTTTCCAGGTCCAGTTCAGTCCAATAAATTAATATCGGTTCAGTTCCGTACTTAACCGGTTTCAGCTATACCGATTAAGTCCGGATATCATGTTAAGTCGAGTAGAGCATCTTAACATAATTAATCAGTTAATTTATCAATCTGAGCATAGTCCTTAGTAATTTTTTATATTATTTTTCAGTTTGATCAGGCATCAGCATTATCTGCATTTTCAGCAGTTCATGTGGGGACTCAGACTAAGTACTACATTGATTATAATTACTCTACCATGTTTGAGGTATGTATATTCAGTATCTGCTCGGAATAGTTGCCGGTCCATTCTGGGTTCTAGTGGCCTTAATCTGCCCACTAGAGTGTGCACATGGTGTCCGGCTTTGCCGGCAGATGTTCAGTTTCAGACAGGTGACTTATGTCACGAGATCAGTATCAGATTATTCAGACCGGTATCAGATATCAGTTATCAGTTCAGTTATATATGCCAGAATCATGATATTGTTATTATTTTCACTGTTTTACTTTAGTATGAGTTTCCACGGAGCACGGTGTTATAGTGCTCACGCCCCACTTATTTCATGTTTTTCAGGTCACAGGGTCGGGGACGAGGAGTGAGATGACGAGCTGTTCAGGACATTTGTTTTGTTATGTATAAATTATGTTTTGGCCACGCTACAGTTCCGCTACACTTTCAGTACTTAAATTCAGTTTTTGGTCCGACACTAGTCGGTTAAAATATTATATAACTGTTTTTATTATCAGTTTAAAAATTAACGGTTTTTCAGTCAGATTTTCACGGTAACACTCCGATTCAGTTTCGCAAAATAAATATTTTATTAAATTATTCAGAAAATTTGCAAAAAATGCGTACTCTGATATTATTTAAATAGCGGGGTGTTATAGGATTGATACAAAAAAAAGAGTTAAAGATTGCTCACAGAAATGAAGAACTCCATTGGCAGCAAAAAGCCAAGATTCAATGGCTGAAAGAAGGGGATAGCAATACCAAGTTTTTCCATGCTTACACAATGATGAGAAGAAGACAGAATACAATAACAAGGCTGCTCACCCCTCAGAACACTGTGTGTGACACTCAACATGCTATCCAGAATCACATTGCTCAATTTTACTCTGACTTGTTCACTTCTGATGGATCTTGGGGATGAGATTCAATCCTTTCTCTTGTTCCTTCCACAATCACTACAGACATGAATCAATTAATGATCCAACAAGTTACAGAAGAGGACATTAAGTTAGCTCTTTTCAGTTTGCAGCCAAAAAAGTCTCCTAGGGAGGATGGTATGACTGCCCTCTTTTATCAAAAATTCTGGGTTATTATCAAATTTGATTTGGTGTCTGCAATTTCCAGTTTCTTTAATAACAAAGGTCTCCTTCTCAAATACTGGAATCACACCATTGTGTCTCTAGAGTTTGTGTCTCAATTCAGACCTATCAGACTTTGCACAGTTGTCTATAAGATTCTGCCAAAAATCATTGCTTCAAGGTTGCAGAAATGTTTGGAAGTGTGCATCAGTGACTCTCAATCTGCATTCATGAAGGGTAGGCAACTTTTAGATAATGTGATAATTGGCCAAGAAGTCTTCCATTATCTGAATAGGCACAACTCAGTTCATAACTGCTTCATGGCTTTAAAGCTTGACTTAATTAAGGCTTTTGACCGAGTAGAGTGGATTTTTATTAAAAAAATCATGTTGAAGATGGGATT